TATCTATCTATCTATCTATCTATCTATCTATCTATCTATCTATCTATAGATAGTTAGGAATTGTTAGTTATTAAATTATCAGCTTGATTTTGGTTTTGCTGTTGGATTATTTTAAAAAAATCTCTTTTTTCAGGCCTGAGTCCCAGCACTCGGACTTAGTTTTATTTTTTCCCCTTTTATCTTTTAATATTTTTTTTCTTTCTTCTCTCTCTTTTCTCCTTTTTCTTTTTTGCATTTTCTCTTTGAGAATTTTTTTTTACTATTTTTTAATTACCTTCGCTTATTGGATTAAGGTTTGGAGAACCTGAAGATAGCTTTTTTGTGCAACATTTTTGATTGGGATATTAATTAATTATTAATTAATGATGAAGAAATCAACCTCTTCGCTAAGCCCAAATTCCCAGCGGAACCTTCGTGCTACGCTGCAGAAGGAGAAGGAGAAGGAAAAGGGGATGGAGATGACACTACACATGATAGGGCAATTAATACAAGACCAAGGTAAATGTCTGGAAGACAGGATGGAAAGAATAGAAGAGAGAACAACGAAAACAGATGAGAGAGTTGAGAATATTCAACAAATAATGATAAAATACGAAGAGAGATTTCAAAAAATAGAACAACATGGAGACCAGACTGATAAAAAAGTTGGAGAAATAGATAGTAGACTGACAATGGTGGAACAGGAAAAGGAAAAAGGAATGCTGGGCTGGGAGATCAAGAGACTTGAATTCTACTTGAGATTCCAGAATATTGAAGAAGAAAGGGGAGAAAACTTAACAGGAATAATGGCAGAAATCTTGGCAGGAGCCCTGGAGATACCTGAAGAGAAAATGATGGATGGTATAGATGAGGTATTTTGAGTATTCACAAGATATGCTATGAGAAATAAATTACCAAGAGAAGTCCATATGAGGTTCACTAAGAAAGCAATTAAAACGCAAATATTGCAGAGAGCCAGAGATGACCCATTGAGATACAAAGGGAAAGAGATAATAGTTCTGAATCAAATACCAAGGAAAGTGAGAGAGTTGAGAAGAGAATATCAATTCTTGATGAAAATATTAATTAAAAAAGAAGTGAACTATAGATGGCTGGTACCAGAAGGCTTAACCTTTATCTGGCAAGAACAAGGACATAGATTAGATTCAATAGAGAAGGCAGAACTATTCTATGATGAATTCTTTAGAGGGAAAGAAGAGAAGAGAAAACGAGAGGAGGAGACAGATAAATCCCAAAGGGAGATAGTGGAGTTAAGAGATAAAGAAAAAAGATGAAATGTAAGAAGACGGAGCAGTTAGTGGAAGAGAGGAGCCTAGAGAACCTAGAAAGATCAATGAGAGTAATACATCCTATATATAAAGCATAAACAATGGAAGAAAAGAAATTGATTTCAATTAATATAAATGGATTAAACTCACCCATCAAAAGGAAAAAGATACTCCACAAATTAGAAAAATTAAAATTAGATATAGTCTGCCTGCAAGAAGTCCACATCAAACAACATATCCAAATGCTGAAGTATCCAAGAATTGGTGATTTATATACCTCATTGGCTCAACATAATAAAAGAGGAATGGTACTATACATAAAGAATACAATTAAGACTAAATTAATCTATACAAGATGAAGAAGGAAGAATCTTGATGGTGGAAATAATGGACAATAATTTGAAAACGCTTCTAGTAGCAATTTATGCACCAAATTAATAACAAGAAGAATTTTACAAAAAGTTGCATGAGAAGACAGTAGAATTGGAATATGATAATATTTGCATGTTGGGAGATTTTAATGCTGTAGTACAGGGGTCCCCAACCACCGGGCCGCGGACCGGTACCGGGCCGTGGAGCACTCTCTACCGGGCCGCAAAGATTTTTTTTTTTAAAAAAAATGGCGGCTTTCTTCACCTTCGGTGAATGCTGCTGGGATCGGGGATCAAGGACACAAATGAAAGAAGGGGAGGGAGGAAGCAACCGAAGCCTGTCCTTCTCTCTGGGTCAGCTCTCTCAGTCGCTCTCTCGCTCCTCCACCAGCCCAGGAAGAAACTGCTTCTAAGAAGCGGGGGGGGGCTTTTCCTGTCACCGCAGCGCCTCCGAAGCGCCCGTTTCTCCCCCACCCCCACCCCGTCCGCCCGCCCGCGCGCCCGCGCGCGCGGGGTTCAACCCAGTGCTCCGTTCTGCCTGCCTTCGTTAATGGTTGAATCGGAACAGCTTCGGCTGAGTAAAAGAGGCGAATAGTTATTATTCTCAGCCGAAGCTGCTCCCAAACAACCAGAAACTAAGGCAGGCTGGCAGGCAGGCAGAACGGGACACTGTGGATTGAAGCGCGCGCGTGCGGGCGGGGTGGGGGTGGCGGTGGGGGTGAAACGGGCGCTTCGGAATAGCTGCGGCGACAGGAAAAGCCCCCCCCCCCCCCCCCCCCCCCCCTCCTTGCAAAAATTTTCTGCTTGAAACCGGTCCCTGGTACAAAAAAGGTTGGGGACCACTGCTGTAGTAGACACAAAATTGGACTATAAAACACAGAAACTTAATAAAAAGAGTAGAAAGACACTTCCAAAATCCTTTTTTAACATGGTGGAGGAACTTAAGAATAGAGACGTTTGGAGAGAAATGAAATCTCAAGATAGACAATATACATTTTATTCTAATAGACATTTATCTTGGTCGAGAATTGGGATGATCTGGATGTCATCGGAAATAATTTCTAATATACAAGAAATTAATATTGAAGCAAGTACTTGGGCGGACCACAACCCAATATGGGTCAAATGGCAAGGACAAAGGAAAAGATCAAGATGGACTTTAAATAATGTAATTTTGAAAGAAAAAGAATTCTTACAGAAAATGGAAGAAGAATTGGCATTCTTCTTTAAGGAGAATCAAAAGGAGGAAACTTCAATGCAGAACTTATGGGACACCATGAAGGCCTATACTAGAGGTTTGATTATAGATTATACAAGAAGAAGAAATGTTAAGAAAAGACAGAATCAACAGATATTAGAGGGTGAATACAGGAAACTTGAGAAAGAATTGCAAAAATATCCACAAAAAATGATCATCAAAAAACAAATGGAGGTTATTAAGCACAAAATAGAGTTGACAGAAAAAGAAGAATTAGCTCAAAAAATTAGAAGTGCCAAACAAAATTTATTTGAAAATGCGAATAAACCTGGTAGATGGTTGGCATACAAACTGAAAAAAGAGAGAGAAGCGAAAAAGATAATACAGCTGATTGATGATCACGGTGTGAGTCACAATGGAAATGAGGGAAAGAAAGAGATAATACAGAAGTATTATGAGACATGGTATAAGCAAGAGAATATTGAAGAAGAAAAAGTTAAACAATATTTACAAGAAGCAGAGTTACTTCAAATACCTGAAGATATTAAGATAATCCTAGAAGGGAAAATAACAATGATGGAACTGACAGAAGCATTAAATAGACAAAATATTGGGCAGACTCTGGGCCCGGATGGTCTCCCAGCTGAATTTATAAGACCTTACAGAAACCGTTGAGTAATAATGCTTGAAGTGATGAATGAAGTTTTATTGAAAGCTAAAATACCTGACTCATGGACAGAAGCATATATTACTCTGATACCAAAAGAAGACACTGATTTACAACAGATTAAAAATTATAGACCTATTTCCCTGTTAAATGCAGGTTATAAAATTTTTGCTTCAATAATGGCAGAAAGACTTAAACGATACCTGAATAACTTAATACATGTTGATCAAAATGGATTTCTGCTGAAGAGACAGATTAAAGACAACATAAGAATAATTTTGGACACTCTGGAATATTATGAAACTCACTCAGAGAAGCAAATGGCCTTGGTATTCTTAGATGCGCAAAAAGCTTTTGATAATGTAAACTGGCAGTTTATGATACTACAAATGGGTCAGATGGGCTTTGGAGAAAGATTTATAAAAACGAGGCAATATATCAAAAACAATCTGCTAAAGTGATGATTAATGGAGATTTGACGAAAAATATTAATATTGAAAAAGGAACTAGACAAGGATGTCCTTTATCGCCATTATTGTTTGTATTGACTTTGGAGATATTAAATAGAAATATTAGAGACAATAGGGAAATAAAGGGAATGAAAATAAAAAAGGAGGAATACAAGCTACAAGCCTTTGCGAATGACTTGGTTTTTATATTGGAGGAACCATTGAAATCAACGCCTAAATTGTTTGGAAAAATTGAAGAACATGGACAGGTGGCAGGATTGAAAATAAATAAGGATAAAACCAAGATATTAGTTAAGAATATGACAGGAAAACAAAAGGCTATTTTGATGGAAGGACTGAACATTCAGATTACAAACAAATACCTAGGAATATATTTAATTGCAAGATGTGGAACTTTGAAAGAAGACAA